TCTGAGCTAGATGGCTGCTTATTTACCTTTAAGCTTTTAAGACCCCAGGTGCTATGACTTTTGATAGCCGGGCACCATCAGCTTTCTTCACCACATTTGCTTATTCACCTGCTTTGTCTTCAGTGGTTGTGTCAGGACGGTGAGCATCATTGAATGCCAATTTAATAGAAGAAAGTATTCTTGCATTGAGGGAGTACTTGACTGGAAGCCCAATATCCTTCTGCTACCTTAATACTAAACCAATAAATATATGAACATAGATATATTTCCCCATCCTCATATATAAATATATTTGCATATGTACATGCCTTTACTTAGACCTCGATAAATGCTCTTTGCCTCCTAGCTCTTTCCTCTATTTCCTCTTGTCCCACTATCATGCTCAGTCTTCATATGGGTTTCAGTAATTCCTCTTGGTTACATTACCCTTGGTCACACCATACCAGGCCTCCTACACCCTCCTCACCACCGATTTGGTTGATCAACTTTTTCTGAAGAGAATTCTGGGCTGCTGATAAGATCAGTAGATCTAAATTAATTGATTTGACCCAAAAGAGAATATAGCATATTTTGAACTATCACCTTAAGTAATGACTTTCATTCTTACAAAATACTTAAGTCAAAAGCAAAGCGTTTACTCAACTTAGTATTTTTACTCTTTTAAAAAATCACCCTAAAAGTAAAAAAAGAAAAAAAATCACCCAGACCTCAAGTGGCCTCTAATAGCTGTGGTTCAGTTTATACATCAAAGAAGTCCAGTTGCTTACCGACTTCATGTGCTATTCCTCTTGATTTCAATTGGCAGGTCCAGGGAAGACGGGGTGGCCTGATCCAGAGACAGTGATGATGAGATGTTGAGGAATAAGCCGGAGGAGAGAAGCAACAGGCACCATGGAAAAAAACAAAGCAAAGCAAGGTTTGTTTGTTTTCTGTCTTATCTTGAGTTTGCTATGAGTTGGAATCGACTGGACGGCATGGGTTTGGTTTTTCATTTGCTCCCTTAGGGTTCCAGATTCAAGGAACGCAGGCTTTCGAAATGTAGGTCTTGTCACTGTCTCAAACCATGACCAGGTCTTAGCTTGGCTATTTTACTTCCCTATCATGTGGTGACTTTGAAGAACACAGTTGGTGCTGGAAGACTAGGGGATGCTATCTATATAATTTGATCTGAATAATTACTTTATTTCCTTAGTAATCATTTTAAGACTATCTCATATAATCCAAGATTCTTCTTTAACTCATAAACATTATACATCTACTAGGTTGGTGCATTTCACAAGGGTTTTCTCTTTTAACCTTTACAAGAATTGCATATAAGCAGGTCCTGTTGTGATTTCCATTTTACAGATGAGGAAACAGAGATGTAAATTTAGATCTGATAGGCTGGTTTCTGCTATGTCCTGGCTTTTGCCACTACACAAGAGTTACATGGGTTAAATACTCTTTACTTATGTTCATACATAGAATGTTGGTGATGCCAAACCATCTAGATTGTATAAGGACAGGTTTCTATGCATATAAGTTCTGGGCCAACATTATGTATTATTTATAAATTCAATATACTGAGGCTGGTTCCTCTAAGGAAGAGTTTCTTGTACCAGCCTGACTTAGGAGAGGCAGAGTCACAGCCAAATGTTTGCGATCAGAGCTTTCAGCTATAAGCTGTTTGATCACACAGGGTGACACATTGGAGAAGCAGCGGACTGGATGAGCAACAAGCTGAATATTTTACTTGAGGTCCTTGTCTCACGGGCAATCACTGTGGATCTAAAAGGTACATTGTAGACCAGCCTTTGCTTTCTCCAGCCAGAATATGGGGTGTTTCAGTCTTTACTATTGCCAGTACTGTTTCTCTCCTGGCCGCATCATTCCCAGCGCATCTCCACTGGCAATCCCATTCTTCCTGTAGTCTGGCCCAGAGGATACTAATATTTCCTTAGCCAAATTTGGTAGTGACCAGAGGGCAGAGTTCAGATGTTTGGAAAGGATCAGAGGTCGGAACAATTTATGCAGACTTCCTGAGAACAACAGGGTGAAAACAGGACAGCTTTTCTGACCTTCTAGAATTTTCCCTCCAGGCAAACTGTGGTCAGTCCCAAGTACAAGAGAGAGATACTGCATGTCTGTTTAATGACCACCAATCATTCTGTTTGATTGAGAGACTTTCCTACTGTGGTAGAACATGGGTTTTTTACTACAAGAGTTATTTCAAGCAATTATGGTTTAGTCACTAAGATGTGAATGTAAAAGCTATCTATGCCATATTAAATGAAGCACTGGTGGCATAGTGGGTTACATGTTGGGCTGATAACAGCAAGGTCAGCAGTTCAAAATCACCAGCTACACTG